CTGGCTGCCGAGATAGGTCGATCTTCCACTCAGCCATCGATATGTACGTACCTACACACATATGTATGTATGTACGTAGGTGAGTGGTTTTTTATTATTTATCTTTTCGGTTAAGGTCCTCCATTGCCAGTCTCTCCTCCATTTCCAGCTCTCTAATTTTTAGCCTTTCATTACTCTTCATCTCCTTTTCTCTTGATTCCATTTCTTTTTCCTTCAATGCTAATTCATTTTTTTCTTTTAACTTAACTCTTCTTCTCTCAACCTAAAGTCTTGGTCAGCTTTCTGCTTCCTCACAGTTAACATGTCTGCTTGCATTTCAATTACCTATATCTGTAAGTGCAGTTCGAGAATAAATCCCTTTACAGCTTGTGGAAGCTGTGTTTTCGGTTTCAATAGTTACATTTGTTGGCGACATTGTGGTTTCTTCGAACAGGAGCTCTGTTGAATTGAAAATATCTTCACATACGGAGTCCAAACTGTCTTCAATGACAGCCGCTTCAACGAGCCTGTTGCCAAAAATGTCGCCAAGCTCGTAAAAATGTGTACTTTTTAAGTAAAATGGCTGAAATACAAACTCGTTAAATCAAAGCTGCTGGAATGGCCCATATTTCTATTTCCTACTTCGAAAAGTGTCGCCATCCATGCTGCCGGCGCCGGTTGATCCTTCCCAACCTTCGGCTTTATTGTAGCTGTCGCGCATGTTTCGTACTTTCGCTCGTGCCAGCTTCCACTCAACCTCCAATTTCATTTCCAACGAAAACCGCCTGTAGTAGTTTTGATCAGTTGGCTTCTGTAATTAATACCTTCTGTGTGATCAAAATTGCACTTATTTAATAAAAAACAAACCTCGAAATCTCCATTCGCCATCAAAAACTCAATGAGCGCCTTTTCGTCTACTATGGTCCATTTCTTGGTGGGATTGATGCGCACACGCTTCGCTTTTAGCTGAATCAAAAACATTTATTTAATCTGGGTCCATTAATATAGATAATGCATTAGATCTTACCTGAATATTTGGCAAAGGATCCGGTTTTATAAGCAGCTAGATTTGCCAGACGGTATAAGCACAAAACAAAACAGAATTTTCACGAGAAGCAAATGTAAACAAACAACAGCTGTTTGCTTACTACACCACATAAACATAGCAAGCAAGGTTGTACTGTTTTAGTACTCTTTCAGTGTGGAAGGCACCAAAAATTTTTTTAAACCATTGTAAAAGTTTAGTAAATTATGACAATATTGTAATATTGTATCGGTATGCTATACCAAATTCCACGTCTATCTAAGAATTAGTTTTAGCTACTACCACTTGTAAGCCTCCTTGGCACTCAAACATTGCATCGTAACACGAAATCCCGGCCCGAGTTGGAGAGCCCGGTCGGCATGAAGAGTGACCTCGAGACTTTTGACTGCATCTGGTTTTCTTTCCTTTTTTGCAAGACGACGAGAAAGACACGAGTGACAGTGAAGCACTTTTGGAGAATTTAAAAAAATTAAAAATAAATATACCAATTACGCATCAAAGTTGTCGAAAACCTTTTGCCTATAAGCGTCAGAAGTGGCATTAAAGCAACCCTTCTACAAAATTAAGGATGTCTTATGCATTTTCGTACATATATCCGTATGTAAATGCAATTCAATTATACACGTGCGTACAATTCGAGAAACTTCGGCAAATATATTGCTTCCAACATCGGCAATCGAAGCAACGAAGCACTTAAGCGAAACATCTCGAAATATTACCATCACCGAAATGAAAAGAAACGAAATTGAAGAGTGGCTCAATTGCAACAATACTAAATTCTACGTTGAGACAACTGCGTAAATTGGCAATAGAAAATGGTGCTACTTGTAAAATATCTTGCGACTAGGGCTCAGTATATCCAGTAAAAAAACTGTGGTGAAGTCCTTTATGGGGATAAAGTTTCCAGAGGTGAAATTTTAGGTAGCACACAATTTCTTACACGCATGGTTGCTTTTCAGCACTCATGAAAGAAACTTAAGAAATATTTGAAAAAAAAAGTTCATATAGTACATTAATTTAAAAAAAAATACCATATTATGTATGTACTCTGGTTAATAATATCAAAAAATGTATTAGAACCACCGTTTAATGTTATATTTGATACAAATTAATATTGCTGCCCCGAACGCTCTGCGCCTTGCCGCTGAATAATAGATTACTTAAAATTACATCCCTGGTCCTTGTTCTTTCTGTATCGCATCGTGGTGAATTCATATTTCTCAGAAATTTGACAACAAAACAAAACAAAGCAAGTATTTTATTTGCTAATTTTTGCGATTTCTATTGTTTAATGTAAATTTGTCTTTTTAGGATATGTCGAGCCAACAAAGAAGGCGCAGTTGGAAAATTTAGTAATTACTAATGAAGTAGCTGGCATATTTGGAAAATTATGCCGATAAACAGGATGGAATTTGGGAAAGTAAGTGCATGGTTGCAGCATATCTATGTATAAAAAGTATTTAATTAAATTGTTTATAGAAATGTTATAAATCGAGTGGCTCATTTACGATGTGCTCCAAACATTTGGCGAACTTTTTTTCGCCTTTTCAACGTGCTAAGTAACAAGTTAAGATGACTGCCATCATGGGCCGGTAAGAAACCGCTAGCAAAGGGCAGACAACCTTCCAGGAAGCTGCCTCCTGTCCCCGAGCCGAAGCTGCAGTTCAGCAAGAGCAGGTCAGCAAATTGCTACCCTGATCAAACGTAAACTAAAGCGGTCTGCTGTGATTGCACTCCGTAAATGTGAAAACTTGGTGCATGCTGAGAAATATCAAACAAGAAAACTCCGTGATGGACGCCGTGAGATGGAGTAACGCTGTGTGGCAAAGAAATGCGGCCAATTCGACGGGCCTGAAAAATGCAAATTGGCTTTTGTGATCCGCATCCGCGGTATCAACAAAGTTGCACAAAAAGTGCGTAGTTTTACAGTTCTGTCTTCGCCACATTAAAACGGTGTGTTCATCAAATTGAGCAAGGCAACCATTAATATGCTACGTATGCCGAACCCCTATATGGGGTTATCCAAATCTTAAATCAGTTTGTGAATTGATGTACAAACGTGGAATGGTCAAGCGTGTCCCAATCTCTGCTTTGTGATCGAACGCAAATTTCGCGAAGCGCGTTGATTCACTTCACTTCAAGAAAGCCCCCAACTTCCTGTTGCTATTCAAGCTCAACACATCAACCCGAGGCTGGCGCAAGAAGGCTAATCACTACGTTGAGGTTGGTGATTTCGGTAGCCGTGAGGATAAGATCAACAAATTGCTGCACAAGATGGCTTAAAGAAATTGTTGTTTTGTATTTAAGGCGACAATATAATTTGGCACATCTTCAAAAGGCGCTCAAGCAAAAAAAAAAAGAAAATTAAAAAATTCCTGAAGTTGCCTTTTCACGGGTCGATTTCTGTCGACTGGAAAATTTACTTAAGATATCGACTAGCCAAAACGCTTACATTTTACGGTTGAATTGCAATTTACACGGGTAGATTTTGGTTAAACGACAAAAAGGCAGCTTAAATAACGTTCAAATTAATCACCCCCTTTGAGATGGAAAATACCAATAACCATTTCATAATTTCGAAAATTATTCCATTTATATTTGGTCTTGCATTTTCCACACCACTTGTGAGGTATGCTTTTACGAGCGTTACCGATTTTTTTTAATGTGCTCGGTTGCCCAGGAGGCCTATTTTCACCTTTACAACTTAACTTAAACAATTAAAACTAAAGCATGCAATATATAAAGAAAATTAAAAGTTGTCTTACATCTAGTAAACTTAAAAAATTGCACATTAAATTCATTTTTCATTATAAAATAAAATTAAATATCACAATTCAGTTTACAAAATGTGGTCTGTTTGCACCCACAGTAAGTTCCCATGAAGCCTAGCCTAAATTCAGAATTGAAAAAAAAAACGAGCAAATGGGGTCGGAAACTACTAGCCCTAAAAGCACAATGTGGAAAATGTTTGAAGAGCTGCGAAATTGTATTGCAATAATAAAAATAACAGTGCATAAATTGGAAAAAATGGTTTTTGTTTTGCTTTATAATTTTTGGGAATATTGGTTCAGATGGAATTTTTTTATTTGTTTGGTTTTTCAGCTCGTTAATGATGCACCCAGGGTTGCATTTACTGTCTGAAAATATTTCGTGAAGCGTTCCAAAATTAGCTCCGAGCAACTAAAAGTTGGTTAAGCTTAAATGAAATAGTTTTTTATTAAATATTTATTTCTGGTATTTAGTAAAAAACATCAATACTAATGTATGAAATGAAGTAAATAAAAATCTACGAATACATTCCATGAATATTTTGTCATAGAGCCATTATTAAATTTAGACATAACTTTGTCAGGCGTTGGTACCTACGTATATAGAATTAATGCGTTGGAGAGAGATAAATATACAAGTTCAGCGCGCTAATTTAGGTATCCTTGTATGTATATACATGTTACTCGTCTGGCATATACTCCAACTGCGAAAATAATGACAATTATAATTTATGTAGATCCCTGGATAAAAGATTGTCACAAGTTACTTTCGGTAACTCACGATTGAAGTTTGGAATGCAATTTCTCAGAAACACGACTACAGATTTTCTCCAAAGTGTCGGAGAATGCTTTGTACTAGTTCATGAAATTCTTAAATTATCTTATTTTTTTTAGTTTAGTGTCAACCATTTATGAGTTTAATAAAATTTTGTCGTATACGACATTTGTCAAAAAATTTGCAGTCAGTTTTAGAGATATACGCCAAAATGTGATAACAATTTTTATAAATTAACCATACTTTTTACTAATCAGCCTAATCGTGAGTTTCGCCCGAACAAAATTTCGCCAACAATTTTTTCATCCACCTGTAGTGAACACACGCAAACGAAAAGTGACCCGGTTCTAGAAAATGAAACTCATGATAAAACTGAATATGTCGGAAACTAAAGAAGAACAGATAACTCTATTTAAAAGATCTTGATTAGTTTAGTACGACAGCAATACTAACGCAATTTGTACCAAATAACCGAAAAAATTTTAGTCAATTAGTCGGAAACTAAAGAAGATATCCAAAAACCACAAATTGTCAAAATGACGCTTCCGGCAATTTTCCATCGAGGCGACGATATTTGAATAGCTTTGTATAGTTACCAATAGTCAGTACTAATTTGTACTGGAACCTGCAAACTTTTACTGGAAAAGTGTATGATAACCCAAAAATTTGCAAGAGAGCACTGAATCGAGAGCGTAACAACACGAGAGAGCTGCAAATTCTTGCTAGTGAAATTTTTACTAGCAGAAATTAGCTAGCAGAAGAAGAAGAAGAATAAATGTCAAAAGAATATATAAAAAGTGGTGTTACTAGCTCAGTTGATTTTGTGTATGTGTTTCGCCGCACGGCTTCTTATATCAAATTGAAAAATTTTGTTTGAATTTCTACTCACACTTACAGGTTTTGACAGTTTATCCCGCCAAAGCAAAAACAAAATACATGTAAATTTTTGTTTTTGTACTCCTGCAATCACCTTATATTGATTCGCCTTGGCACAAACAAAAGTAAAATGAGTGGAAACAAAAATATTAATGATGTACTGGACAGTGTTAGTGCTTGTGTGTAAAGCAAAGAGTTTAAAACTGATTTATAAATAGTAAAATGTTTACAGCAGATTGTCAAAGCAGTGCAACAACTGTTCACTTGCAAGTTATTGCTAGTTTTGTGTTCAATAAGTTCTTCTGCTAGTTTTCTCTTCTTCTCAATTTAACGCTCTATTTTGCTTTTACGCTCTCGCTGCAATGTTACTGTTACTATACAAACCTAATGTTACTCGCATATTTTCGAGCCTGTATGCACATTTTCGGGAAAAAGGTTAAAAAGTGTATCCATCTGCTGAAAAGATATTTTCGCAGATTCACAATTTATTTAAAATAAATCTATTAGCCCAATCTCCAATTCCATGTGAATAAATCTCCCCAGTGCTTAAATAATTTTCACCACATTAAATAGCTGCACAACACCCTAATTGCCGAAAAAGCGTTGCTTGCAACACTAGTCCTTTATGGGGACGAAACTTGGCGAAAAAAAAATAGCTAAGTTTGTTTACTGGATATACTGAGGACTAGGGTTCGAACGCTACTGAGTAAGTATCGATACTGAGGGTATAAAAATGAGTACTTTAATACTCGATACCTTATTTGGTGTTTTTACTCGATACTTTGCAAGGTACTCGTAGTATTGAATACTTTTTAAAACGCACACTTTTTAAATTTTTTCTTCCATTGCTTTCTTTGCTTATATGGATTACTATCATTCAATTTTGTCTATCACTTAAAATAAACTGTAATTGCGTGTATTCTGTTGCATAACATAAACCAAATAAGTGAAGGTTTAGTGGCCTTATTCATAAAAAATAAAGTAGGCTTAATAAAATGACATTTTCATAAATTTTTCAGTTTATAAACCTTTTTTATTTTTTATGAATAAGGCCATAAAACTTTACGCAAAGTTCACGAAAATGCAGATTTTTTAGAAACTTTTTGGGAATGCAGTTTTGTAACCTATTCAAATTTACGTGTAGCCTACTACCGTTGACTTTTAATTCAAACTTGCACATTATCATACTAAAATTGAATAGGCTACAAAAATGCATACTAAAACTTTACACAAATTTCTTAATAAAACTTGAAATTCGTGAAAGTATATATATATATATATATATATATATGTATGTACATTTGACGTTAAAATTACTTCTAACGTGAAAGTAAGTTCCGCAATGAAATAAAAATCAAATATTTTAAATTTTTTTGTTTTAATTTAAGGAAATAACTAGATATACGATTGAAGAATAAAATAAT